GTCATAGTTCATTGGTTTTGAATCTTGATCAAACTTTTCTTTGATGACCTGCATGTTATTCATTGCACGTGTGGTCTTTCTTCCTGCATATTATGGTCTGGTTCTGGACCCGGATTTAGTCTACATTGTTTTTTGGTTAAAAAAGATGTTGATTGGTGTTAACTTTTATTTTGAATTTTATATTTATTGGCTGAATTTTATATTTATTGAGATGTTGGTTACTTCACTCAAGAGACATGTTCTGTAAGAAAGGCTTCTCTCACATTTTGGGCAGAGAGTGTCTCAGAACTATATGAATGACTCATTGCTATATTTATGCTGAGTCATTTGAACAAATGGCAGTTTTTACGCTTTGACACTTGCACTTCAGTTGATTGGTGATTCGCTTGTGATGAGTTAAAACTGACGAGCCAGCCAGGAGTCGAACCTAGAATCTTCTGATCCGTAGTCAGACGCGCATTATCCATTGCGCCACTGGCCCCCCATACTCATATTTTGTGAGCTGTTTCTGGACCCTGATGTGCCACAAATGCAGCTCGGAGCAAACTTGGTCTTGGTTGTACATCTTATATTTTTATCCAAGTGTGAGCTTCAATTTGTAACTCTAGGTCCTTGAAATTAATGGTTCCCATGATGTTTTGATTTTATATTATTTGTAAACTATGGGTAATACCTCGCCAAATTTTGACTGGTGTTACCTTGTATTGAGTACATTTATCTGCTAAGACGTTGATTCATTGGCGCCAAAAAATAAATGCTGTGAAAAATCCTTGTCTCTACTTCTGGACGAAGCGTTTCTCAGAAATAAGTGAGTGGCTCATTGTTACATTCATTCTAATTCATGTCGTCAGATGGGGGTATTTGGTTTTTTCCACTTTTAGTGCAATTGACTGTTGATTTGTCCAAGATTGGCTAAATATGACAAGACAGCCAGAATCAAACTCATAATCTTCCAATAGAGAGTCACATGCATTATTCATTCCTCTGCTGGCCTTTTTGCCTGTATTAGTTACAATCTGGCTATGGACCCTGATGTACCTCTTGTGCAACTTGTAGCAAATTACCCTGGGATTGCACATTTCCTGCTAATTTTTATCCTCGTATCAGCTTAGATTGGTAATTCTAGCGTGTTGATATTAATGGTTATCTTGATATTTTGAATGACATGCATGTAGTGTGTAAATTATGGGTAATAGGCTACATTGTCAAAATTGTGACTGGTGTTGCCTGCCTGGAGTAGATTTAGTAGTGGGCTGATGTTGCTTACTCAATGCAAAAAATACATTCTGGGACGAAAACTTATATCACATCCTGGGCAGATAGTTTGACTGAGCTCTGTGAATGGCTTAGTATTACGTTCAGGCTTAATCATGTGGACAGATCAAAGATGAACATTTCTGTCACTTTTAGTTCAGTTGGTTGGTGATTTGAATCTAAAGAGACAGCCAGAATCAAACTTAAACCTTCTTTGTGGTAGTTGCCCACATTATTCATTGCGCTGCTGGTCTTTCTTCCTGCATCGATTATGGTCTGGTTCTGGACCCGGATTTACCGTATGGGCTACTGGAAGCAAAGCTGCTCATAATTTAGCATTTTTTGTTAATTTTTTTATGTAAAGATAAGCTTGGATTGGTATTTCTTTCAATAGTTAATATTTTGAATGACTTGTAAGTAATGTGTAAATTATGGGCAATACATGGGCAAAACTGTGATTGTTGTTACCTGAATTTTATATTCATTGGCTGAGAGATGTTGGTTACTTCACTCAAGAGACATGTTCTGTAAGAAAGGCTTCTCTCACATTTTGGGCAGAGAGTGTCTCAGAACTATATGAATGACTCATTGCTATATTTATGCTGAGTCATTTGAACAAATGGCAGTTTTTACGCTTTGACACTTGCACTTCAGTTGATTGGTGATTCGCTTGTGATGAGTTAAAACTGACGAGCCAGCCAGGAGTCGAACCTAGAATCTTCTGATCCGTAGTCAGACGCGTTATCCATTGCGCCACTGGCCCTCCCATACTCATATTTTGTGAGCTGTTTCTGGACCCTGATGTGCCACAAATGCAGCTCGGAGCAAACTTGGTCTTGGTTGTACATCTTATATTTTTATCCAAGTGTGAGCTTCAATTTGTAACTCCAGGTCCTTGAAATTAATGGTTCCCATGATGTTTTGATTTTATATTATTTGTAAACTATGGGTAATACCTCGCCAAATTTTGACTGGTGTTACCTTGTATTGAGTACATTTATCTGCTAAGACGTTGATTCATTGGCGCCAAAAATAAATGCTGTGAAAAATCCTTGTCTATACTTCTGGACGAAGCGTTTTTCAGAAATAAGTGAGTGGCTCATTGTTGCGTTCATTCTAATTCATGTCGTCAGATGGGGGTATTTGGTTTTTTCCACTTTTAGTGCAATTGACTGTTGATTTGTCCAAGATTGGCTAAATATGACGAGACAGCCAGAATCAAACTCATAATCTTCTAATAGATAGTCACATGCATTATTCATTCCTCTGCTGGCCTTTTTGCCTGTATTAGTTACAATCTGGCTACGGACCCTGATGTACCTCTTGTGCAACTTGTAGCAAATTACCTTGGGATTGCACATTTCCTGCTAATTTTTATCCTCGTATGAGCTTCGATTGGTAATTCTAGCGCGTTGATATTAATGGTTATCTTGATATTTTGAATGACATGCATGTAGTGTGTAAATTATGGGTAATAGGCTACATTGTCAAAATTGTGACTGGTGTTGCCTGCCTGGAGTAGATTTAGTAGTGGGCTGATGTTGCTTACTCAATGCAAAAAATACATTCTGGGACGAAAACTTATATCACATCCTGGGCAGATAGTTTGACTGAGCTCTGTGAATGGCTTAGTATTACGTTCAGGCTTAATCATGTGGACAGATCAAAGATGAACATTTCTGTCACTTTTAGTTCAGTTGGTTGGTGATTTGAATCTAAAGAGACAGCCAGAATCAAACTTAAACCTTCTTTGTGGTAGTTGCCCACATTATTCATTGCGCTGCTGGTCTTTCTTCCTGCATCGATTATGGTCTGGTTCTGGACCCGGATTTACCGTATGGGCAACTGGAAGCAAAGCTGCTCATAATTTAGCATTTTTTGGTAATTTTTTATGTAAAGATAAGCTTGGATTGGTATTTCTTTCAATAGTTAACTTAATATTTTGAATGACTTGTAAGTAATGTGTAAATTATGGGCAATATTGTGATTGTTGTTACCTGAATTTTATATTTATTGGCTGAGAGATGTTGGTTACTTCACTCAAGAGACATGTTCTGTAAGAAAGGCTTCTCTCACATTTTGGGCAGAGAGTGTCTCAGAACTATATGAATGACTCATTGCTATATTTATGCTGAGTCATTTGAACAAATGGCAGTTTTTACGCTTTGACACTTGCACTTCAGTTGATTGATGATTCGCTTGTGATGAGTTAAAACTGACGAGCCAGCCAGGAGTCGAACCTAGAATCTTCTGATCCGTAGTCAGACGCCAAGTTATCCATTAGCCACTGGCCCTCCCATACTCATATTTTGTGAGCTGTTTCTGAACCCTGATGTGCCACAAATGCAGCTCGGAGCAAACTTGGTCTTGGTTGTACATCTTATATTTTTATCCAAGTGTGAGCTTCAATTTGTAACTCCAGGTCCTTGAAATTAATGGTTCCCATGATGTTTTGATTTTATATTATTTGTAAACTATGGGTAATACCTCGCCAAATTTTGACTGGTGTTACCTTGTATTGAGTACATTTATCTGCTAAGACGTTGATTCATTGGCGCCAAAAATAAATGCTGTGAAAAATCCTTGTCTCTACTTCTGGACGAAGCGTTTCTCAGAAATAAGTGAATGGCTCATTCTTACATTCATTCTAATTCATGTCGTCAGATGGGGGTATTTGGTTTTTTCCACTTTTAGTGCAATTGACTGTTGATTTGTCCAAGATTGGCTAAATATGACGAGACAGCCAGAATCAAACTCATAATCTTCTAATAGATAGTCACATGCATTATTCATTCCTCTGCTGGCCTTTTTGTCTGTATCAGTTACAATCTGGCTACAGACCCTGATGTACCTCTTGTGCAACTTGTAGCAAATTAACCTGGGATTGCACATTTCCTACTAATTTTTATCCTCGTATGAGCTTCGATTGGTAATTCTAGCGCTTTGATATTAATGGTTATCTTGATATTTTGAATGACATGCATGTAGTGTGTAAATTATGGGTAATAGGCTACATTGTCAAAATTGTGACTGGTGTTGCCTGCCTGGAGTAGATTTAGTAGTGGGCTGATGTTGCTTACTCAATGCAAAAAATACATTCTGGGACGAAAACTTATATCACATCCTGGGCAGATAGTTTGACTGAGCTCTGTGAATGGCTTAGTATTACGTTCAGGCTTAATCATGTGGACAGATCAAAGATGAACATTTCTGTCACTTTTAGTTCAGTTGGTTGGTGATTTGAATCTAAAGAGACAGCCAGAATCAAACTTAAACCTTCTTTGTGGTAGTTGCCCACATTATTCATTGCACTGCTGGTCTTTCTTCCTGCATCGATTATGGTCTGGTTCTGGACCCGGATTTACCGTATGGGCTACTGGAAGCAAAGCTGCTCATAATTTAGCATTTTTTGTTAATTTTTTTATGTAAAGATAAGCTTGGATTGGTATTTCTTTCAATAGTTAATATTTTGAATGACTTGTAAGTAATGTGTAAATTATGGGCAATACTGTGATTGTTGTTACCTGAATTTTATATTCATTGGCTGAGAGATGTTGGTTACTTCACTCAAGAGACATGTTCTGTATGAAAGGCTTCTCTCACATTTTGGGCAGAGAGTGTCTCAGAACTATATGAATGACTCATTGCTATATTTATGCTGAGTCATTTGAACAAATGGCAGTTTTTACGCTTTGACACTTGCACTTCAGTTGATTGGTGATTCGCTTGTGATGAGTTAAAACTGACGAGCCAGCCAGGAGTCGAACCTAGAATCTTCTGATCCGTAGTCAGACGCTAAGTATCCATTAATTTGCCACTGGCCCTCCCATACTCAGATTTTGTGAGCTGTTTCTGAACCCTGATGTGCCACAAATGCAGCTCGGAGCAAACTTGGTCTTGGTTGTACATCTTATATTTTTATCCAAGTGTGAGCTTCAATTTGTAACTCCAGGTCCTTGAAATTAATGGTTCCCATGATGTTTTGATTTTATATTATTTGTAAACTATGGGTAATACCTCGCCAAATTTTGACTGGTGTTACCTTGTATTGAGTACATTTATCTGCTAAGACGTTGATTCATTGGCGCCAAAAATAAATGCTGTGAAAAATCCTTGTCTCTACTTCTGGACGGCGTTTTTCAGAAATAAGTGAGTGAATGGCTCATTCTTACATTCATTCTAATTCATGTCGTCAGATGGGGGTATTTGGTTTTTTCCACTTTTAGTGCAATTGACTGTTGATTTGTCCAAGATTGGCTAAATATGACGAGACAGCCAGAATCAAACTCATAATCTTCTAATAGATAGTCACATGCATTATTCATTCCTCTGCTGGCCTTTTTGGTCTGTATTAGTTACAATCTGGCTACGGACCCTGATGTACCTCTTGTGCAACTTGTAGCAAATTACCTTGGGATTGCACATTTCCTGCTAATTTTTATCCTCGTATGAGCTTCGATTGGTAATTCTAGCGCGTTGATATTAATGGTTATCTTGATATTTTGAATGACATGCATGTAGTGTGTAAATTATGGGTAATAGGCTACATTGTCAAAATTGTGACTGGTGTTGCCTGCCTGGAGTAGATTTAGTAGTGGGCTGATGTTGCTTACTCAATGCAAAAAATACATTCTGGGACGAAAACTTATATCACATCCTGGGCAGATAGTTTGACTGAGCTCTGTGAATGGCTTAGTATTACGTTCAGGCTTAATCATGTGGACAGATCAAAGATGAACATTTCTGTCACTTTTAGTTCAGTTGGTTGGTGATTTGAATCTAAAGAGACAGCCAGAATCAAACTTAAACCTTCTTTGTGGTAGTTGCCCACATTATTCATTGCGCTGCTGGTCTTTCTTCCTGCATCGATTATGGTCTGGTTCTGGACCCGGATTTACCGTATGGGCAACTGGAAGCAAAGCTGCTCATAATTTAGCATTTTTTGGTAATTTTTTATGTAAAGATAAGCTTGGATTGGTATTTCTTTCAATAGTTAACTTAATATTTTGAATGACTTGTAAGTAATGTGTAAATTATGGGCAATATTGTGATTGTTGTTACCTGAATTTTATATTTATTGGCTGAGAGATGTTGGTTACTTCACTCAAGAGACATGTTCTGTAAGAAAGGCTTCTCTCACATTTTGGGCAGAGAGTGTCTCAGAACTATATGAATGACTCATTGCTATATTTATGCTGAGTCATTTGAACAAATGGCAGTTTTTACGCTTTGACACTTGCACTTCAGTTGATTGATGATTCGCTTTGTGATGAGTTAAAACTGACGAGCCAGCCAGGAGTCGAACCTAGAATCTTCTGATCCGTAGTCAGACGCGTATCCATTGCGCCACTGGCCCTCCCATACTCATATTTTTGTGAGCTGTTTCTGGACCCTGATGTGCCACAAATGCAGCTCGAGCAAACTTGGTCTTGGTTGTACATCTTATATTTTTATCCAAGTGTGAGCTTCAATTTGTAACTCCAGGTCCTTGAAATTAATGGTTCCCATGATGTTTTGATTTTATATTATTTGTAAACTATGGGTAATACCTCGCCAAATTTTGACTGGTGTTACCTTGTATTGAGTACATTTATCTGCTAAGACGTTGATTCATTGGCGCCAAAAATAAATGCTGTGAAAGATCCTTGTCTCTACTTCTGGACGAAGCGTTTCTCAGAAATAAGTGAATGGCTCATTCTTACATTCATTCTAATTCATGTCGTCAGATGGGGGTATTTGGTTTTTTCCACTTTTAGTGCAATTGACTGTTGATTTGTCCAAGATTGGCTAAATATGACGAGACAGCCAGAATCAAACTCATAATCTTCTAATAGAAAGTCACATGCATTATTCATTCCTCTGCTGGCCTTTTTGTCTGTATCAGTTACAATCTGGCTACAGACCCTGATGTACCTCTTGTGCAACTTGTAGCAAATTACCCTGGGATTGCACATTTCCTACTAATTTTTATCCTCGTATGAGCTTCGATTGGTAATTCTAGCGCTTTGATATTAATGGTTATCTTGATATTTTGAATGACATGCATGTAGTGTGTAAATTATGGGTAATAGGCTACATTGTCAAAATTGTGACTGGTGTTGCCTGCCTGGAGTAGATTTAGTAGTGGGCTGATGTTGCTTACTCAATGCAAAAAATACATTCTGGGACGAAAACTTATATCACATCCTGGGCAGATAGTTTGACTGAGCTCTGTGAATGGCTTAGTATTACGTTCAGGCTTAATCATGTGGACAGATCAAAGATGAACATTTCTGTCACTTTTAGTTCAGTTGGTTGGTGATTTGAATCTAAAGAGACAGCCAGAATCAAACTTAAACCTTCTTTGTGGTAGTTGCCCACATTATTCATTGCACTGCTGGTCTTTCTTCCTGCATCGATTATGGTCTGGTTCTGGACCCGGATTTACCGTATGGGCAACTGGAAGCAAAGCTGCTCATAATTTAGCATTTTTTGGTAATTTTTTATGTAAAGATAAGCTTGGATTGGTATTTCTTTCAATAGTTAATATTTTGAATGACTTGTAAGTAATGTGTAAATTATGGGCAATACTGTGATTGTTGTTACCTGAATTTTATATTCATTGGCTGAGAGATGTTGGTTACTTCACTCAAGAGACATGTTCTGTATGAAAGGCTTCTCTCACATTTTGGGCAGAGAGTGTCTCAGAACTATATGAATGACTCATTGCTATATTTATGCTGAGTCATTTGAACAAATGGCAGTTTTTACGCTTTGACACTTGCACTTCAGTTGATTGGTGATTCGCTTGTGATGAGTTAAAACTGACGAGCCAGCCAGGAGTCGAACCTAGAATCTTCTGATCCGTAGTCAGACGCGTTATCCATTGCGCCACTGGCCCTCCCGTACTCAGATTTTGTGAGCTGTTTCTGAACCCTGATGTGCCACAAATGCAGCTCGGAGCAAACTTGGTCTTGGTTGTACATCTGATATTTTTATCCAAGTGTGAGCTTCAATTTGTAACTCCACGTCCTTGAAATTAATGGTTCCCATGATGTTTTGATTTTATATTATTTGTAACTATGGGTAATACCTCGCCAAATTTTGACTGGTGTTACCTTGTATTGAGTACATTTATCTGCTAAGACGTTGATTCATTGGCGCCAAAAATAAATGCTGTGAAAAATCCTTGTCTCTACTTCTGGACGAAGCGTTTCTCAGAAATAAGTGAATGGCTCATTCTTACATTCATTCTAATTCATGTCGTCAGATGGGGGTATTTGGTTTTTTCCACTTTTAGTGCAATTGACTGTTGATTTGTCCAAGATTGGCTAAATATGACGAGACAGCCAGAATCAAACTCATAATCTTCTAATAGATAGTCACATGCATTATTCATTCCTCTGCTGGCCTTTTTGCCTGTATTAGTTACAATCTGGCTACGGACCCTGATGTACCTCTTGTGCAACTTGTAGCAAATTACCCTGGGATTGCACATTTCCTGCTAATTTTTATCCTCGTATGAGCTTCGATTGGTAATTCTAGCGCGTTGATATTAATGGTTATCTTGATATTTTGAATGACATGCATGTAGTGTGTAAATTATGGGTAATAGGCTACATTGTCAAAATTGTGACTGGTGTTGCCTGCCTGGAGTAGATTTAGTAGTGGGCTGATGTTGCTTACTCAATGCAAAAAATACATTCTGGGACGAAAACTTATATCACATCCTGGGCAGATAGTTTGACTGAGCTCTGTGAATGGCTTAGTATTACGTTCAGGCTTAATCATGTGGACAGATCAAAGATGAACATTTCTGTCACTTTTAGTTCAGTTGGTTGGTGATTTGAATCTAAAGAGACAGCCAGAATCAAACTTAAACCTTCTTTGTGGTAGTTGCCCACATTATTCATTGCGCTGCTGGTCTTTCTTCCTGCATCGATTATGGTCTGGTTCTGGACCCGGATTTACCGTATGGGCAACTGGAAGCAAAGCTGCTCATAATTTAGCATTTTTTGGTAATTTTTTATGTAAAGATAAGCTTGGATTGGTATTTCTTTCAATAGTTAACTTAATATTTTGAATGACTTGTAAGTAATGTGTAAATTATGGGCAATACATGGGCAAAACTGTGATTGTTGTTACCTGAATTTTATATTTATTGGCTGAGAGATGTTGGTTACTTCACTCAAGAGACATGTTCTGTAAGAAAGGCTTCTCTCACATTTTGGGCAGAGAGTGTCTCAGAACTATATGAATGACTCATTGCTATATTTATGCTGAGTCATTTGAACAAATGGCAGTTTTTACGCTTTGACACTTGCACTTCAGTTGATTGATGATTCGCTTGTGATGAGTTAAAACTGACGAGCCAGCCAGGAGTCGAACCTAGAATCTTCTGATCCGTAGTCAGACGCGTTATCCATTGCGCCACTGGCCCTCCCATACTCATATTTTGTGAGCTGTTTCTGGACCCTGATGTGCCACAAATGCAGCTCGGAGCAAACTTGGTCTTGGTTGTACATCTTATATTTTTATCCAAGTGTGAGCTTCAATTTGTAACTCCAGGTCCTTGAAATTAATGGTTCCCATGATGTTTTGATTTTATATTATTTGTAAACTATGGGTAATACCTCGCCAAATTTTGACTGGTGTTACCTTGTATTGAGTACATTTATCTGCTAAGACGTTGATTCATTGGCGCCAAAAATAAATGCTGTGAAAAATCCTTGTCTCTACTTCTGGACGAAGCGTTTCTCAGAAATAAGTGAATGGCTCATTCTTACATTCATTCTAATTCATGTCGTCAGATGGGGGTATTTGGTTTTTTCCACTTTTAGTGCAATTGACTGTTGATTTGTCCAAGATTGGCTAAATATGACGAGACAGCCAGAATCAAACTCATAATCTTCTAATAGATAGTCACATGCATTATTCATTCCTCTGCTGGCCTTTTTGCCTGTATTAGTTACAATCTGGCTACGGACCCTGATGTACCTCTTGTGCAACTTGTAGCAAATTACCCTGGGATTGCACATTTCCTACTAATTTTTATCCTCGTATGAGCTTCGATTGGTAATTCTAGCGCTTTGATATTAATGGTTATCTTGATATTTTGAATGACATGCATGTAGTGTGTAAATTATGGGTAATAGGCTACATTGTCAAAATTGTGACTGGTGTTGCCTGCCTGGAGTAGATTTAGTAGTGGGCTGATGTTGTTTACTCAACGCAAAAAATACATTCTGGGACGAAAACTTATATCACATCCTGGGCAGATAGTTTGACTGAGCTCTGTGAATGGCTTAGTATTACGTTCAGGCTTAATCATGTGGACAGATCAAAGATGAACATTTCTGTCACTTTTAGTTCAGTTGGTTGGTGATTTGAATCTAAAGAGACAGCCAGAATCAAACTTAAACCTTCTTTGAGGTAGTTGCCCACATTATTCATTGCGCTGCTGGTCTTTCTTCCTGCATCGATTATGGTCTGGTTCTGGACCCGGATTTACCGTATGGGCAACTGGAAGCAAAGCTGCTCATAATTTAGCATTTTTTGGTAATTTTTTATGTAAAGATAAGCTTGGATTGGTATTTCTTTCAATAGTTAACTTAATATTTCGAATGACTTGTAAGTAATGTGTAAATTATGGGCAATATTGTGATTGTTGTTACCTGAATTTTATATTTATTGGCTGAGAGATGTTGGTTACTTCACTCAAGAGACATGTTCTGTAAGAAAGGCTTCTCTCACATTTTGGGCAGAGAGTGTCTCAGAACTATATGAATGACTCATTGCTATATTTATGCTGAGTCATTTGAACAAATGGCAGTTTTTACGCTTTGACACTTGCACTTCAGTTGATTGATGATTCGCTTGTGATGAGTTAAAACTGACGAGCCAGCCAGGAGTCGAACCTAGAATCTTCTGATCCGTAGTCAGACGCGTTATCCATTGCGCCACTGGCCCTCCCATACTCATATTTTGTGAGCTGTTTCTGGACCCTGATGTGCCACAAATGCAGCTCGGAGCAAACTTGGTCTTGGTTGTACATCTTATATTTTTATCCAAGTGTGAGCTTCAATTTGTAACTCCAGGTCCTTGAAATTAATGGTTCCCATGATGTTTTGATTTTATATTATTTGTAAACTATGGGTAATACCTCGCCAAATTTTGACTGGTGTTACCTTGTATTGAGTACATTTATCTGCTAAGACGTTGATTCATTGGCGCCAAAAATAAATGCTGTGAAAAATCCTTGTCTCTACTTCTGGACGAAGCGTTTCTCAGAAATAAGTGAATGGCTCATTCTTACATTCATTCTAATTCATGTCGTCAGATGGGGGTATTTGGTTTTTCCACTTTTTAGTGCAATTGACTGTTGATTTGTCCAAGATTGGCTAAATATGACGAGACAGCCAGAATCAAACTCATAATCTTCTAATAGAAAGTCACATGCATTATTCATTCCTCTGCTGGCCTTTTTGTCTGTATCAGTTACAATCTGGCTACAGACCCTGATGTACCTCTTGTGCAACTTGTAGCAAATTACCTGGGATTGCACATTTCCTACTAATTTTTATCCTCGTATGAGCTTCGATTGGTAATTCTAGCGCTTTGATATTAATGGTTATCTTGATATTTTGAATGACATGCATGTAGTGTGTAAATTATGGGTAATAGGCTACATTGTCAAAATTGTGACTGGTGTTGCCTGCCTGGAGTAGATTTAGTAGTGGGCTGATGTTGCTTACTCAATGCAAAAAATACATTCTGGGACGAAAACTTATATCACATCCTGGGCAGATAGTTTGACTGAGCTCTGTGAATGGCTTAGTATTACGTTCAGGCTTAATCATGTGGACAGATCAAAGATGAACATTTCTGTCACTTTTAGTTCAGTTGGTTGGTGATTTGAATCTAAAGAGACAGCCAGAATCAAACTTAAACCTTCTTTGAGGTAGTTGCCCACATTATTCATTGCGCTGCTGGTCTTTCTTCCTGCATCGATTATGGTCTGGTTCTGGACCCGGATTTACCGTATGGGCAACTGGAAGCAAAGCTGCTCATAATTTAGCATTTTTTTTTATTTTTTTATGTAAAGATAAGCTTGGATTGGTATTTCTTTCAATAGTTAATATTTTGAATGACTTGTAAGTAATGTGTAAATTATGGGCAATACTGTGATTGTTGTTACCTGAATTTTATATTCATTGGCTGAGAGATGTTGGTTGCTTCACTCAAGAGACATGTTCTGTAAGAAAGGCTTCTCTCACATTTTGGGCAGAGAGTGTCTCAGAACTATATGAATGACTCATTGCTATATTTATGCTGAGTCATTTGAACAAATGGCAGTTTTTACGCTTTGACACTTGCACTTCAGTTGATTGGTGTTCATTGGTAATTCTAGCGTTGATATTAATGTTATCTTGATATTTTGAATGACATGCTGTGTCTCTACTTGGGTAATAGGCTACATTGTCAAAATTCTCACTGGTGTTGCCTGCCTGGAGTAGATTTAGTAGTCATTTGTTTACTCAATGCAAAAAAATACATTCTAATTCCATCCTGGGCAGATAGTTTGACTGAGCTCTGTGAATGGCTTTCCACTTTTTAATCATGTGGACAGATCAAAGATGAACATTTTGTCACTTTTAGTTCAGTTGGTTGGTGATTTGAATATAAAGAGACAGCCAGAATCAAACTTAAACCTTCTTTGTGGTAGTTGCCCAATTATTCATTGCGCTGCTGGTCTTTTCATTCCTGCTGCTTATGGTCTTTCTGGACCCGGATTTACCGTATCAGTTACAAAGCTCTCATAATTTAGCTTTTTGTTAATTTTTAAAGATAAGCTTGGATTGGTATTTCTTTCCAATAGCAATATTTTGAATGACTTGTAAGTAATGTGTAAATTATGGGCAATAATTGATTGTTGTTACCTGAATTTTATATTTATTGGCTGAGAGATGTCTTACTTCACTCAAGAGACATGTTCTGTAAGAAAGGCTTCTCACATTTTGGGCATAGAGTGTCTCAGAACTATATGAATGACTCATTGCTATATTTATGCTGAGTCATTTGAACAAATGGCAGTTTTTAAAATTGCACTTCAGTTGATTGGTGATTTGCCTGAGTTAAAACTAGACGATTTAGCCAGTGGGCTGATGTTCTGATCCGTAATCAGACGCTAAAAATCCATTCTGGGGCTCCTCCCATACTCATATTTTGTGAGCTGTTTCTGGACCCTGATGTGCCACAAATGCAGCTTGAGCAAACTTGCTCTGTTGTACATCTTATATTTTTATTCAGTGTGAGCTTAATTTTGTGGACAGGTCAAAAATTAATGGTTCCCATGATGTTTTGATTTTATATCATTTGGTTGGTGATAATTTTGAATCTAAAGTACATTTATCTGAAGACGTTGATTCATTGGCAAAAATTCTTTGTGAAAATCCTTGTCTCTACTTCTGGATTCATTATAAGTGAATGGCTTCTTACATTCTTCTAATTCATGTCGCCAGATGGGGGTATTTGGTTTTTTCCACTTTTTAGTGCAATTGACTGTTGGCATTTGTCCAAGATTGGCTAAATATGACGGCTAGCCAGAAATCAAACTCATAATCTTCTAATAGATTTCTCATGCATTATTCATTCCTCTGCTGGCCTTTTTTGCCTGTAAAGTTAAATCTGGCTACGGACCTGATGTACCTCTCTTCAATTGTTAAATTACCCTGGGATTGCACATTTCCTGTAATTTTTATCCTGTATGAGCTTATTGGTAATTCTAGGCTTTGATATTAATGGTTATCTTGATATTTTGAATGACATGCATGTAGTGTGTAAATTATGGGTAATAGGCTACATTGTCAAAATTGACTGGTGTTGCCTGCCTGGTAGACATTTAGTAGTGGGCTGATGTTGCTTCTCAATGCAAAAATACATTCTGGGACGAAAACTTATATCACATCCTGAGATAGTTTGACTGACTCAATGGCTATAGTATTATGCTCAGGCTTAATCAAATGGACAGATTTTCAGATGGACATTTCTGTCACTTTTAGTTCAGTTGGTTGGTGATTTGAATCCAAAGAGACAGCCAGAATCAAAAAACCTTCTTTGGGTAGTTGCCCACATTATTCATTGCCTGGGTCTTTCTTCCTGCCGTTATGGTCTGGTTCTGGACCCGGATTTACCATTAGGGCAACTGGAAGCAAAGCTGCTCATAATTAGCATTTTTGTTATTTTTTGTGTAAAGATAAGCTTGGATTGGTATTTCTTTCAATAGTTAATATATTTTTGACTTGTAAGTAATGTGTAAATTATGGGCAATATTGTGATTGTTGTTACCTGAATTTTATATTTTCCCAGAGATGTTTTGATTTTAAGAGACATGTTCTGTAAGAAAGGCTTCTTCTCACATTTTGGGCTTGAGAGTGTCTTAGAACTATACGAATGACTCATTGCTATATTTATGCTGAGTCATTTGAACAAATGGCAGTTTTTTACTTTGACACTTGCACTTCAGTTGATTGATGATTAAACAAGTTAAAACTGACGAGCCAGCCAGGAGTCGAACCTAGAATCTTCTGATCCGTTCAGACGCTATCCATTCTGCCACTGGCCCTCCCATACTCATATTTTGTGATGTTTCTGACCCTCATGTTACAAATGCAGCTCGGAGCAAACTTGGTCTTGGTTGTACATCTTATATTTTATTATCAAGTGTGAGCTTCAATTTGTAACTCCAGGTCCTTGAAATTATTGGTTCCCATGATGTTTTGATTTTTTATATTATTTGTAAACTATGGGTAATACAGCCAATTTTGACTGGTGTTACCTTGTATTGAGTAGTATTTATCTGCTAAGACATTTATCTGCTGATTCATTGGCGCCAAAAATAAATGCTGTGAAAAAATCCTTGTCTATACTTCTGACAGCCAGAAAAATAAGTGAACATTCTTACATTCATTCTAATTCATGTCGTCAGATGGGGTATTTGGTTTTCCACTTTAGTGCAATTGACTGTTGATTTGTCCAAGATTGGCTAAATATGACGAGACAGCCAGAATCAAACTCATAATCTTCTAATAGACCTGATTATTCATTCCTCTGCTGGCCTTTTTGTCTGTATTAGTTACAATCTGGCTACAGACCCTGATTACCCTTGTGCAACTTGTACAAATTTCCTGGGATTGCAATTTCCTATTTTTATCCTCGTAGCAATTGGTAATTCTATTTGATATTAATGGTTATCTTGATATTTTGAATGACATGCATGTAGTGTGTAAATTATGGGTAATAGGCTACATTGTCAAAATTGTGACTGGTGTTGCCTGCCTGGAGTAGATTTAGTAGTGGGCTGATGTTGACTCAATGCAAAAAAATACATTCTGGGATCTAAAAACTATCACATCCTGGGCAGATAGTTTGACTGAGCCCTGTGAATGGCTTAGTATTATTACGTTCAGCTTAATCATGTGGACAGATCAAAGATGAAATTTCTGTCACTTTTAGTTCAGTTGGTTGACAGATTTGAATCTAAAGAGACAGCCAGAATCAAAAATACACCTTCTTTGTGGGTAGTTGCCCACATTATTCATTTGAATGGTCTTTCTTCCTGCATCGAAATGGTCTGGTTCTGGACCCGGATTTACCGTATTCGTTCGCAACTGGATGTTTCAGATCATAATTTAGCATTTTTGGTAATTTTTATGTAAAGATAAGTTGGATTGGTGATTCTTTCAATAGTTAAGAGATAGCCAGAATGACTTGTAAGTAATTTTGTAAATTATTATTATTGTTGTTACCTGAATTTTATATTCTTTATGCTGAGAGATGTTGGTTACTTCACTCAAGAGACATGTTCTGTAAGAAAGGCTTCTCTCACATTTTGGGCAGAGAGCTCAGAACTATATGAATGACTCATTGCTATAATGCTGAGTCATTTTTGAACAAATTGGTATTTCTTTTTATTTGAATGACTTGCACTTCAATTGGTGATTGATTGATGAGTTAAAACTTATATTCATTGGCCAGAGTCGAACCTAGAATCTTCTGATCCGTAGTCAAGCTGTTATCCATCACGCCACTGGCCCTCCCATACTCATATTTTGTGAGCATTGTTTCTTATGAGTGATGTTTGACAAATGCAGCTTTACGCTTTGAACTTGGTCTTGGTTGTACATCTTATATTTTTATCCAAGTGTGAGCTTCAATTTGTAATCTCCAGGTCCTTGAAATTAATGGTTCCCATGATGTTTTGATTTTATATTATTTTGTAAACTATGGGTAATTTTATATTTTGACTGGTGTTACCTTGTATTGAGTACATTTATCTGCTAAGATTTTGATTCATATCCAAAAATAAAATTTGTGAAAATTTGTTCATGCTGTGAAAAATCCTTTCTATACTTCTGGGTTGATTTTTTCAGAAATAATGTTTTGATTTTATATTATTTGCTCACTATAGCGTTTCTTCTAATTCATGTCGTCAGATGGGGGTATTTGGTTTTTTCCACTTTTAGTGCAATTGACTGTTGATTTGTCCAAGATTGGCTAAATATGACGAGACAGCCAGAATCAAACTCATAATCTTCTAATAGATAGTCACATGCATTATTCATTCCTCTGCTGGCCTTTTGTCTGTATTAGTTACAATCTGGCTACAACATGTACCTCTTGTGCAACTTGTAGCAAATTACCCTGGGATTGCACATTTCCTGCTAATTTTTATCATCTTCTGAGCTTCGATTGGTAATTCTAGCCTGGCCTTTTGATATTATTTGTCTTGGTTATCTTGATATTTTTTGAATGCATGTAGTGTGTAAATTATGGGTAATAGGCTTCCTGTATTGTCAAAATTGTGACTGGTGTTGCCTGCCTGGAGTAGATTTAGTAGTGGGCTGATGTTGCTTACTCAATGCAAAAATACATTCTGGGATAAACTTATATCACATCCTGGGCAGATAGTTTGACTGAGCTCTGTGAATGGCTTAGTATTACGTTCAGGCTTAATCATGTGGACAGATTCAAGATGAACATTTCTGTCACTTTTTAGTTCAGTTGGTTGGTGATTTGAATCTAAAGAGACAGCCAGAATCAAACTTAAACCTTCTTTGAGTGGTAGTTGCCCACATTATTCATTCAGCTGCTGGTCTTTCTTCCTGCATCGATTATGGTCTGGTTCTGGACCTGGATTTTATGGGCTACTGGAAGCAAAGCTGCTCATAATTTAGCATTTTTGGTAATTTTTTTATGTAAAGATAAGCTTGGATTGGTATTTCTTTCAATAGTTAATATTTTGAATGACTTGTAAGTAATGTGTAAATTAAATTATGGGCCTGTGATTGTTGTTACCTGAATTTTATATTCATTGGCTAAGAGATGTTGGTTACTTCACTCAAGAGACATGTTCTGTAAAGAAAGGCTTCTCTCACATTTTGGGCAGAGAGTGTCTCAGAACTATATGAATGACTCATTGCTATATTTATGCTGAGTCATTTGAACAAATAAGTTTTTTTCGCTTTGACACTTGCACTTCAGTTGATTGATGATTAAGCAGATGAGTTAAAACTGACGAGCCAGCCAGGAGTCGAACCTAGAATCTTCTGATCCGTAGTCAGACGCCATCCATTAGCCACTGGCCCTCCCATACTCATATTTTGTGAGCTGTTTCTGGACCCTGATGTGCCACAAATGCAGCTCGGAGCAAACTTGGTCTTGGTTGTACATCTTATATTTTTTATCCAAGTGTGAGCTTCAATTTGTAACTCCAGGTCCTTGAAATTAATGGTTCCCATGATGTTTTGATTTTATATTATTTGTAAACTATGGTAATACCTTGCAAATTTTGACTGGTGTTACCTTGTATTGAGTACATTTATCTGCTAAGACGTTGATTCATTGGCGCCAAAAATAAATGCTGTGAAAAATCCTTGTCTATACTTCTGGATGGCGTTTTTCAGAAATAAGTGAATGGCTCATTCTTACATTCATTCTAATTCATGTCGTCAGATGGGGTATTTGGTTTTTTCCACTTTTAGTGCAATTGACTGTTGATTTGTCCAAGATTGGCTAAATATGACCGAGACAGCCAGAATCAAACTCATAATCTTCTAATAGATAGTCACATGCATTATTCATTCCTCTGCTGGCCTTTTTTGTCTGTATCAGTTACAATCTGGCTCGGACCCTGATGTACCTCTTGTGCAACTTGTAGCAAATTACCCTGGGATTGCACATTTCCTACTAATTTTTATCCTCGTATGAGCTTGATTGGTAATTCTAGCGTTGATATTAATGGTTATCTTGATATTTTGAATGACATGCATGTAGTGTGTAAATTATGGGTAATAGGCTACATTGTCAAAATTGTGACTGGTGTTGCCTGCCTGAGTAGATTTAGTAGTGGGCTGATGTTGCTTACTCAATGCAAAAAAATACATTCTGGGATCTAAAACTTATATCACATCCTGGGCAGATAGTTTGACTGAGCTCTGTGAATGGCTTAGTATTACGTTCAGGCTTAATCATGTGGACAGATCAAAGATGAACATTTCTGTCACTTTTTTAGTTCAGTTGGTTGGTGATTTGAATCTAAAGAGACAGCCAGAATCAAACTTAAACCTTCTTTGAGGTAGTTGCCCACATTATTCATTGCGCTGCTGGTCTTTCTTCCTGCATCGATTATGGTCTGGTTCTGGACCCGGATTTACCGTATGGGCAACTGGAAGCAAAGCTGCTCATAATTTAGCATTTTTTGGTAATTTTTTATGTAAAGATAAGCTTGGATTGGTATTTCTTTCAATAGTTAATATTTTTGAATGACTTAAGTAATGTGTAAATTATAGGCAATACTGTGATTGTTGTTACCTGAATTTTATATTCATTGGCTGAGAGATGTTGGTTGCTTCACTCAAGAGACATGTTCTGTAAGAAAGGCTTCTCTCACATTTTGGGCAGAGAGTGTCTCAGAACTATATGAATGACTCATTGCTATATTTATGCTGAGTCATTTGAACAAATGGCAGTTTTCACGCTTTTGACACTTGCACTTCAGTTGATTGGTGATTCGCTTGTGATGAGTTAAAACTGACGAGCCAGCCAGAGTCGAACCTAGAATCTTCTGATCCGTAGTCAGACGCGTTATCCATTGCGCCACTGGCCCTCCCATACTCATATTTTGTGAGCTGTTTCTGGACCCTGATGTGCCACAAATGCAGCTCGGAGAAAACTTGGTCTTGGTTGTACATCTTATATTTTTATCCAAGTGTGAGCTTCAATTTGTAACTCCAGGTCCTTGAAATTAATGGTTCCCATGATGTTTTGATTTTTATATTTTTGTAAACTATGGGTAATACCTCGCCAAATTTTGACTGGTGTTACCTTGTATTGAGTACATTTATCTGCTTAGACGTTGATTCATTGGCGCCAAAAATAAATGCTGTGAAAAATCCTTGTCTATACTTCTGGCTAAGCGTTTTCAGAAATAAGTGAAATGGCTCATTATTGCGTTCATTCTAATTCATGTCGTCAGATGGGGTATTTGGTTTTTCCACTTTTAGTGCAATTGACTGTTGATTTGTCCAAGATTGGCTAAATATGACGAGACAGCCAGAATCAAAC